GCAATTGAGCGAGCGACTGATGCAAGAAATTTTGTAATTCTGCCGGGGCGATCCAATTCTGACATAGCAGAGGACTGATGAACCTGAAATATGTCATTAGAAGTGAATGTTTGTGCATATGTAGATTAATAACTGTCTTTACCATTTCGTCATGAATATCTCACAGGCCACCGGTTGGTTTTGGTGGGGGTACAGATGTGTGCAATCATCGTATACTCTTTCGGTACTATAGATCTGCTCAGACACAATTTTAACTGCCCGAGCGTGAGCTGAAGACTCCAGGTACAGGACAATATTAAATTGCGAATGCAAATGCGCTGACTTTTTTTGTTGGATCGAAACAAAAATCGAATGAAAAGGATCGATCCAGTCGATTTCTGTCGTGTTTGAGATCGATTCAAAAAATCGATTATTCGAACTAAAAGAATCGATCTTCTGTGTTTCGATCCAAGATCGCCCATTGCTAGGTGCGGTACCTCAAGAGGACTATCAACTACAGGCCAAGGTGGCTACATATAGGTGTTCTAATGTGTCAAATTCGTGATTCAGCCATGTTGGATTTTTGTATGGGACAGCGACCGAGTTTGTTTACAATTTGCTCTAAAACCGCATTTTTCCCCCCCGCGACCTCCTCACCTATATAGTGACAAAGCTGTATCACCATTTATATACCCACCATGCTACAGGCTACGATTGAGCAAGCAAGCTGAGACCAAGGTGACTACATATAGGTGTTCTAATGTGTCAATTCATGATTCAGCCATGTTGGATTTTTGTATGGGACAGCGACCGAGTTTGTTTACAATTTGCTCTGAAACCGCACTTTCACATCAAATTCAATCGTGTCAACCTTGTTGCTTGTTGAAGTACACGCAGCACGTGACTAAATCATCATTTAGTCACTTCACGGTGAAAACTTGTCACTTGTCGTCACGGTGAAGTGATTCCCATTTGATTTGTACGGCAATCACGGCGCTTATTCTGAGTATCACTTTCTTATCACCGTGTAGTGACACCCGTAATAAGGCCCTTCATCTCAATTGCACTGAGTGTGAGGAACATCGTAGGCTTTCCCAGTTGTCGCATCATGGTGAACAAATTTCTCTTCCTTTGTTGCCAATACTGTACTGAATTCGGTATTGATTTGAGGAAGGATAGATTTCGCTCAATGCACTGCTCCATGAATAAGGCGGTCCTTAAAGTCCACGTGTAATGTTTGCGGTCGCCGTGCACTTAAAAGTACATTGCAAGCCTTCGGAAACTCTAAGCCGAAGAACTTTCATTGTCATATACAACAAATGTGGTTTGGTCAGAGTTGCGACCTATCACAGTCACGATCATCAAACAGCTGATGGTAGTAACGCTTTGTACATTCCTATCAATGTGCTCGTCGAAGCTCTCTCCATGACCATCCATCAAGTTGACGAAAGAAGTAAAAAGCAACTGGTGAATGTTGTCTTCTGTTGTGATCCATCACCGATCTGGTCATTTCTGACAATCACGACACTCAGCTGTGTTCGTTTTGAAGCAGTTGCTGCTTTGCTTGCTTATGTGAGTGTGTTGGTGAGTGAGCCCAACAGCTTCCGTTTAATGTTGCCTGCTTTGTTTGTAACTCACACACTCGCGCCTGCCGAGACGAACGTGGAATGCGTAGGCATTGTTTTCATTTTCTTCTGTCGTTTAGCTTTTTCTCATGATCGTACTGCAGAAGTCTTCACTATTTTGGTAGTGCTTTTCATTATCAGCAGTGAGTGTAACGTTTTGCTTGTGAGCAGCGACCATTACTGGTGATTGTTGTTTGCCATGGCTCTAACTCTCACTGCGTGACAAAACGATTTGTCAGCGATAGTCGGTTGATGCGAAGACGAGTGTCACGTGAGTATCATGATATTTTGCATCACTGGGTTTGGTCACACGCCTGTCTTGACGACGAGTTTCACTGGATGCCATCATGAAATATGTCACCCGAACCCCTGGCTTGAATTCCTGTAGATGGCCGAAACAAATGGCAGGAAAAGCTATCTTTTCGTCGTGCTCGTCATATATTAAAGACAGAGGAACCCTGTTTTGCGCGGGAGCGATCTCCAAGCATTTGTTCTCATTCCAAAGGAGCGTTTCCTGTTGCCCAAGCAGCAATTCTGTCCCATTATCCACGGCAATGGTTTCCAGCTCAATTTGAGGATCCACTACAGGGGTTTCAAGACCATCTATGGCGATCTGATCAATTGTGATCTTGTAGCGGTGGTACAGTGGTGTCGTAATCTAATAAGAAAGCCACGCTTTAACCGTAGTTTCCTTTATAAAGCCGAACAAGTACGACGACTTATGGATTACGTGCTTTTTGATGAACACGTTGAAGGCATGATCATCATCGAGCTGACGGGGAAGAGAGCGTCGTCTCTTTTACTCTTACATTCGAGCAAAAAGAAAATTATCAAATGACTATCATATGACATATGTGATTTCGTTCTAATTCCTCAATTTGGTGTAAATTAAACCATTTCTGATCAAAAAAGGTTATTACTATGACATCGTTGCTTGCACAAGCACAACATCAGCAGCTCTTATTATGAAAAAAAACTAAAATACTTACATCCGTGATGGTCTTCGGCGACAGTGTCGTATGACATTTTAGTTTGGTACTGTAATTTGAAAGCTTGTTTTGCAAGTGTCGGAAGCAAAGGCAGTCGATTATCACTGAAAATGTGTCGACTACGGTGACCGCTTACAAGACTGGTCTCGACATGACTTTTATTCGCCTTCACACGGCACCGTCGAAAATTGTTCTATTCATGCAAAGATTGACTGTATATTATGGGAACTTTCGACGGAGTGAAGAGATAGTACCATAGAGGTAACTCTAAGACTAGAAGGTCCCGAAATAACGTGCTCAACTTTTTGGCTCAGCTCTGGTACTCTCTTCGGTCCCAAGCTAATCGATTCACCCCTCGAAACATAAGAAAAACCAATAACCCCTCATTTTATCTGTCAAACTTTCATAGCGAATCAAAACAAACATTGCGTAGTACTAGAATTTCGACTAGAATGGGATACGTTAATCGTTTGCTTGGGACCAATAGGCTAGTCAAGTAGTGAGCCAATTTAAAATCGTTAGTTTCGTATTGATTGTTGATAGTACGAAGACCGCCATCTTTCACGCACAGTCTGACGTTTGTTTACTCAAAAAGCGGATAAGTGAGCAAGAAAACGGTTGACAAGTTGCAGAGGTGTATTTTACTTTATGCTTCTTTGCCTTCAGAATCAGATTGTAAAATTCGATTCTCAAGGGAAACGTCCCTGAAGAAAAAAATCCGTAGAAACTGTATCGAATTCCGTAGATTTTGCCTACGGATCCATATTTCCGCAAAAAATTGTAAAATTCGTAGATCTACGGAGATTTCCAGCTCCGTGAACATCAGGACAGATCAATTAAGTTCAAGGAAATGCTGATATTTTAAAGGATTTCCAAGAAACTCAGGCAATGTTCCACAAATTTAGGAAACGTAAGGGAAGTTACATGAACATTAGAACATTGTGAGAAAATTTTATGGGAAATTCCGTGCAGTGGCAGTGCCAAGAATTAAAATTTTAAAAATCGGGAAGATCAGAGATCTTCAATGCTAATGATACAATAAATTCAAGAAAATTGTGAAGCACTTAAGAAATTTCGTAATCTTCAATGAATGTCCAGATACCATCAAGGATGATTATAGATATTCAGGGAAGTTCCGAGTACTTAGAGGATCATCAGAGAACTCTTAAACAGCCCCCTTAACTTCAAGAAAATTACAAGAACTTTTAAGGAATTCCGTTGAATTATGGAATATTCCTAAGTGCATTTCAGGAATGTTCCGAAAACTTCAGGGGCATTGCGGGGTCTTCAGGGAAGTTTTATGAAAGTTAAAAGTTTTGCTTTCAAAAACAGCTTAAATATAAAATAAATTATAATAGTAAATACCGATAAACACCGATTTTTTTAAAACCTTTGACACCGATAAACTTTAAAACAATCTGGCAACGCTGCTTGGCGAGCTGCCACTATGGGAAAAAGGCAATCGAGTGGTACGATGTGAACAACCCTCCCAACAGCCCAGAACTCCGCCCTATCCAACGGTATTGGGCCTTGATCAAACGGAATCTCAAAAAAACTAATAAATCCATGGAAAACGAGCAGCAGTTCAAATCTAATTGGCGTTCGGCGGCGAATAAGGTGCAAAATGTAATGAAAGTGGTTTAGCTGAAGGCACGGCAGTTCGGGTTTGGCAAACCAAAAGAATCAACGAACATTTTTTTTCCTTTAAATATATGAATTGAACTACCAAAAGAAAAATAAGAAGATTTTTGTGATATGAATTTTTACTGAAAAAAATGTTTCTTTTTTGTCGACAATTTTTTGCACGTTCCAGTCTTTACTAAAAACAGTCACGCGACACAGAAACAATCTAAAAACATTCTAACTTGCTAGACAACATAATGCTAATGTTTTATTCAAGCGGCGCCGGTGGTGTAATGGTAAGCGTCATTGTCTCACCCCAAAAAGCCTGGATTCGATCCCAGTCAGCGCCGCCAGGATTTTCTGAGGTATAAAATCTCTGATCACGGCTTTCTGTGAAGGGAAGTAAAGCCGTTGGTCCCCGGTCCATGAGTTGATGGGTTGATAGGTAGGGTCCAGGTGTGGGAGCTGCCTGCTTGGCGTCGGTAGCATTGGTACTCAGAACGGGAAACAAGATCGACAGAAAGCAAATCAAGGAAAAACATGTTTTGTTCTCTCTGTTGCTGCCATCGGTGAGGCCTGTGATAAAGATAGGACAACCGGCAGTGTTGCCAAATCCAATTTTCGTTGTCTGCAACAGCGAAGTTTCATGGAATTCTGAGAGGGTAAAAATTAAATCGATTCGTCAGTTGGCGTGGATTTGCTCTATATGGAAGTTCTTTTTGTTCTACAGCATCAGCAAACTCAACAACGCACATCTCATTAACAGAATATAATAATAATTTGCCTTTCTAATATTTCGTTACAGAATAGATACAGAATACACATATGTAAAGGTTCACAACTAAACAGTTAAAATTTAGGTAGGCCTGAACAACAGAGAGTTCGGAACAATAGGGATAAAGATAGGGCAAAAGAAATACACATTCAAGTATAACGGATGATAAACCTAGAACAATTTACATACACGATCTCAACTTATTGGTCTACATTGGCGCTAGAACTAACGATCTCGATTTTCGCCACTTCGGTTGTGATAGCTTCAATTGGATTGTTACTGTTACTTTCAAGTAGTAGTTGTAGGTAGGTAGTACTCGGTATTGACCAGATTTTGCCAGCCCCCTTATTGAAAATCATTTCTGGGGTTTTACAAAACCCATGCACTTTTTCAGTGAATGAGAAAGATTTGGAATTACGGTTATGTGAAATTATTGAAAGCTAAAAGTCTGATGCGTGTAGGGGCTGACAAAATCGAGTAATTACTGTAATTCAATAAATTGATTTAAAATATTTACACTCACTCTACACCTTCCGTTTTTTTTAAAAGGAAATTATAGTAAAATAAACAATCGTCTAGTAATTTCAAACACAAAATTTTTAAATGGAAGTTTTTAACTTTAGTTTAACTTCGAAACACCTAAAACTTATTCTCTTTCCTTGTTTAGTGACTTGCCTACTAATTTGACTAATCAACAAGTGCGCTACTACTTACATTCTCATCATAACTATTGTTAGTCTTCCCTCTATTATTGTTTGAATGAATCACACTACATTTAATAGAACTATTTTTTTCTTTCTAAAGTTGAATTAGGGGGAGAAAAATGCGATTGTTAGCCAAACAGATAGCTTTATTACGCTTGTAAGAATTATAATAGCAATTCACCTACTTTCGTTCTTGTTGAACAGAGCAGAGCCCGCGGAGGTTTCGCTTCGAAACACATATTTGTTCCGGCTTCGTAGGGTTAATGTCCCTAATGTCGGCCTAAGTGTCCCATACATAAATTTCGAAGGAAAGCATTTTGTTTCCTCTATTTGACCGATCGATCGACAATAGCTGGAGCTCTTTTTTACTGTTCGCAGAGTGCGAAGAGAGAAAGACAGTGAGGTTAGGTTTTTGTAAACTTGTTTTTTTTTCTTCCCGTCGGTGCTGGTGTGAAGTGAGAGTACTACAGGGAAAGATTTTGGCGCCGTTTTAGATTGCCACCGCTACATCAAGATATTTAAATAAAGCTATTAAAACTTCCAATTATCGATATAAATATACAATTAAAAAGGCAGCGCACTGAATACTTTAGGGAAAACAAAAATGATACAATTTAAAATAAAGGCATGTGCCTCTTAAAATACGCTGCACAGAATCGCTAAGGAATAACCCATCGGCATCTGTGCAATTTCCGATATTATTGAACATTATAACTACTCTCTCTCTCTCTTTCTCTATCTCTGTCTCTCGGTAACCTGTTCCTCCGGAACACCTTTCCGTAGGCTGTTCCGACTACCTTTTTACCCCAACTCACTTTGATTTGGCACCGTGTTCTCTCAGTTATGCAGTTGACTTTGTTTTCCACATTTAATAACTTACCTCCTTCGTTCGAACTTGCGCACCGCTAGTTCCTTCCTAATCATCCCAATCGTCGTTGGCCGAGTTGGAATCACTGTCGTCTTCGTCGCTCGATCGAATCACGCGGCCTCGTTCGGCCAGAGCCCGCCGGAGGGCATCGGCCAGGGCGTCGGTTCCAACGTCCCCGCTGCCGGCGCTGCCACTGCTGCGGTCGGCATTCTGCTCGCGATCCGCAACCCGTCGCAGTTCGATACCGTCCCGAATCTGCGACAGGAGGTCATTTCTCGGGTCGCCACCGCTACCGCTGCCGGTGCTCAGTGCGCCTTGGTCCACTTTCTGTCGAATTTAAAAACATAATGTACATATGGGCATGAATAACCGAATCCCTAAATAGGTGAGTGACGCTTACCTTTAGGGCTGCTCCCTTGCGAATGCTGTCCATCAGGGCAGACCGATTATCGTCTATGACAGGTACAGGAGCGGCGGGCGCTTGCGGTTTAAGCGATCCCGGTGCCATCGGAGGCGGAGGCGGTGGAACGGCACCAGTGGAGGCAGGTGGAGGCGGAGGTGGTGGTGGCTAATGAGAGAGTGAAACATTCAACATTAGGAGCGACATGGAAGTGAAATCTGAGAGACAAAAACTTACTGGTCCCGGAATCGGTGCTGCTGGGGCAGCTGGTTGCGACTGGTGAATCGGAGGTGGTCGCGAAGGCGCTGGATTTACCTTTGGTGGGGTCGTCACAGGCAATGGCGGCAGGGTCCTGTTGGGAGGCGGTGGCGGTGGGTTCCGTTGTTTACCATTCTCATGCACCTAAAAAAAAGACAACACAAATTGAATTAAAAATTCCGGAATTTCCAACCCACCCGATCTCACACGTACCGGCTGCTGCTCGTGATTGCTCCGGATGGGCACGGGTGGCGGCGCCGGAGGTTTCTGCTTACGACTGCCACTCTGCTCCGACTTCATCGTATCCAACACCCGATGGTTCTGAATGAAGTCGTAGATGAATTCGCGCGTTTCGCGATCCTTCAACTGAAAGCGCGGAGCGATGGAGAGAGAGATAGGAAAAACAAAATCAATCATGCATATTATCGAATCAAAATAACCAACTTTCCAATGAGAGTGGATCGATGTAAACAAAGGCAAGTGCTAGTAGTAGATACTCACAAGTCTATCATCCACGCCCGCCTTCACGAGGAACGGTTTCAGCGTTTCCTCCTCGCCGCTCAGGTCGAAGCCACTGGTCGGACTCCAACCGACGTGTGTCAGGTGCTTGAAATTCGACGGCATGCCAATGTCCTCCTTGCGTAGGCGGGACTTACCCTTGGTTTTGGTCGGTCGTTGGTGGGGCTGTTGCTGCTGCTGCTGTTGGTGATGAGGCTGCGGCTGGAAGGCAGTGTTCGGAATCACCGGAGCTGAAACTGTGTGCACATGGTGCGCGCACATACGAAGCAGATCAGGTTGGAAAAAGTTAGCTCGTTAATTATAGGTGATGTGCTCGCGGACGATGGTAACGGAACGATACTTACACGATGGCTTATTGCGGAGTGTGACAGTGTTTTCGAACGTATCTTTTTGGTTGGAAACCGGTGGTGGCCGCGCCGGAGGTGGATCCTTACGGGTGCTGCTCCGTTTGAGGCGTTCTGGAATAGAGATTGAAAAAGCAAGTGTTGATGTAAATGTAACATTCCGAGGATGGAAGACTTAATTTTAGAGCATTAAGCATAACGCAGTGGTTTGTAGTGATACGTGCCGCTACCATCTTCATTGGCCGTGCGGCTATAAAGGCTTGAAAGAGCAACACCAAAGAATGTTTATGGGCTGGCCCAAAGGACCTTCCAAGAACGCCCAAAAGCAAGTTCGTATGACCTCGTAGCCCGCATAAATTAACGATAACCCAAATGATAGAACTGTTCTACAAATGGTCCTTAAGCAAAATAGCCATACACAAGTTCAAGAAGCTCGATCCAGTTCTATGAGGCCCGAGTAAAATTTGGAGAATCACTAATTCAACCGTTGCGAGCTAACTCGCCAGTGCCGTATGAAGCTAGAAATCCTGAAATCAGCTGGCCGAACTTTGGAGAACACAAGCTGCCTTCGGGACAGGTACTTTTATATTCTGGTATGCGAGGTGAAAACGCTCCGCGACATCGTGGAGTTGGCTTTCTGCTTAGCGCCCAAGCACAGGCTGCGTTCATCAAGTGGGAACCTATCAATGAGAAAATAATCGTTGCCAGTTTCAGTCCGAAACCTTACCATAATCCAATGTTATGCGCCAACCGATGCTGCCGAATTGCAGGACAAAGAGAACTTTTGGATAAGACTCCAAGAGGTGATATCAAGATTTACACAAGCGACTTCAATGCGAAGATCGGCTCCGACAACTCGGACTATGAGCGCATGATGGGACGCCATGGTCTCGGAGATATGAGCGAGAGCCCCGAGCTGCTTGCAGAGTTTTGTGGCAACAACGAAATGGTGATCGGAGGTTCGCTCTTCCCTCATCGCCCAGTGCATAAAGTCACATGGGTCTCCCGTGATGGATATACAGAGAACCAAATCGACCACATCTGCATCAGCCGAAAATGGAGACGGAGTCTTCTTGATGTTCGGAATAAACGCAGCGCTGACATCACGTCTGACCATCATCTCCTGGTCGGTGAGATCTGCCTACGCATTGCGCGGGTTAAACGGCGGGAGGAGAGACTCCGGCGGCAGTTCAACACACGCCGACTGGAAGACCCAGCAGTGAAGAGATCGTTCGTCGAAGAACTCGAGGCTCGCGCAGCTAATATTCCGGAAGGTGGCAGCGTAGAAGAACACAGGACGAGCATCAAGAATGCCTTTATTGAAACAAGCGAGAACAACCTGGGTGAGCTGCGCACTCTGAGGAAGGAGTGGATCACTGATGAAACCTGGAGGAAGATCGAGGAGCGGAGAGAAGCAAAAGCCGCTCTAGAGTGAGCAAGGATCCGAGGAGCCAAGTACGAGGCCCGTCAGGGAAGTTCCTGTATACGGGACAAGGGAGCGTGGGTGGACTCCCTGGCTAATGAAGGGAAGAAAGCCGCAGCAACTGGCGATATCCGCCACCTCTATGATGTTTCACGACGCCTAAACGGGGCAAGGATGAACCCAAGGATGCCTGTGAAAGACGCGACTGGACAGCTGCTCACCGACCCCACTGACCAGTTGAAACGTTGGTTTGAGCACTTTGAACAACTTCTCGAAGTTTCAACGGTCAACCAACCGTCAACATCTCGGCATGATCCGCCAAGGGTGAGGCGCGTTACTCGCGTCAACACTGAAGCTCCATGATTGCAGGAGATAGAAGTAGCCATCCGAAGTATGAAGTCCAACAAAGCCCCGGGGGTCGATCGCATATCAGCAGAGATGCTCAAAGCTGACCCCATGCTATCCTCACAAATGTTGCATCAACTATTCGTCAATATCTGGGACACCGTGACTTTTCCGGTCGACTGGATGCAGGTCGTCTTGATAAAAGTCCCCAATAAGGGGGATCCAGCTGTATGCGACAACTGGTGAGGCATCATGTTACTGTGTATTGTTCCCAAAGTTCTGTGCAAAGTTATCCTCAATGCTGTTATACGCCAGTGAAACATGGTGTGTATCAGCGGAGAACACTCAGAAGCTGCAGGTGTTTATCAACCGATGCCTGCGGTACATAAATCGCCTGGTGGCCCCACAATTGGATCTCAAATTCCGAGCTTCATCGTTTGTGCCATCAGAAGCCGATAGGGACAGAAATTCGTGAACGGAAGTGGAGGTGGGTCGGCCACACACTACGACGGAGCGGAAACGAAATCTGCAAGCAAGCACTGGACTGGAATCCAGCAGAACATCGCAGCAGAGGCAGACCCAGAGGCTCGTGGCGGCGTAGCCTAAACAGTGAAATTTAGAACGTTGACCGAAATTTGACTTGGGCACAGGTCACGGCCAAAGCTAGTAATCACCCAGGATGGAAATCTTTCACAAACGCCCTTTGCAACCCTGGAAGTGCGCAGGATCCTTAAGTAAGAAAGTAAGTGTAGCTGGATTTCAATGACTTAAAAAAAAACGTGGGATTGCGTTGAGGAAAAATCCTAACGTAAATTTGATTTTTTACTTTAGATCTTCGAAAAATTCCAAGCCTTCTTAGTCTGGGATCTAATGAATATTCTAAATAAGTGTTGAGGGGCCTCCCTTAGTCTTCCCCGAGTGAAGATCTTCCTTTGGCGTTGGGCGAGACCATGGTGGTCCTCTTTTTCCTATTTAAAATTTCTAACGTTTTAGTTTAGCGGTGGCTGGGTTCGATTCCCGGTCCTGTCTAGGAATTTTTCGGGTTGGAAAATTTCTCATCTTCCCTGGACATAGAGTATGATCAAGGGGAAATCAACTCTGCACACTGTGCCGAAACATAATGATGATAAGTATGAGATAGAATATATTATAAAATGGCATCACTGTTTTGAGTTGACATTTTGACAAGTGTTGCTAACGTAGTACACGTTTGTTTTCTTTAAAGTAAAGGGGAAGTTTTTTTTTCAGATTAATTTGTTTTATTTTCCAGCGAGAGTATCCTCAGTCATAATAAAAGGTTGCAAAATCGGAAGGAATCATGTCAGAATATGCCTGCTTACGTATTAATCTTAGATGGCAATAGGATATAAACTGAAAGCAAATTGTATAAACAAGAATAATTGCAGAATCCAGTTCCAAATTACAGCATTGATGTACGGTGTCAACAACAACCCGGTACAGAACGATCCCGCCATTCTACAGATGCCATTGAAATCGCAGCAGTTTCTCCCGCTGAACCACTCTATTCTATGGACTGAACGATCTCGGAGATTGGATTGACTGTGGAGCCTGGTGGCATCAGTAGATCTTGTATTAGCAACATTAAGAAGGATGCTGCTAACAGAATTGTAAAGGTAACTACACCGGAGGTAACGGAGCCTTCGATAGAGCGATCGGAACCGCCAGCAGGGGATACGTATGCAATTCCGGCAAAGCCAAGTAAGGATGAAAGTTATGAAGGAACAACAAGCAAATACAAAGAGAAGGTAGTAATCAGACGTTGGCAACCGGTATCTAGATCCTGGATCAGCATTTGCATGTTGCTGGTAATTATTTGATGGATGATGAGGATAAACGGGTTAAAAGTAAAAAGTTGGGAGCCATGAGAAAGAAGAAGAGCAGCACTATTTATTTTTGTGTTGTTAATAAACAATCTCAGTGATTTCCTGGGTCTCCTGTTTATTTATTATGGTGTTCAAAAGTTCAAAACCATGGACGCAGTCGATTGACTCTCCCACCAAAACATGTTTAGCAAACTTAGAATTCAGTACCCAAAAGTTAAGGCTAATTTTAGGTCGAATCCTTCTTGATTTCAGGGTTGTAGCATTATTCGAGTACCATGATGATAATGTAGAGGGACATTTTCCACTTGCCGGGTGGGTCATAAGTACAGGTTTCGACGAACGTCTACAAGAATGAGACACGGTAAAGACAGCTTCTGTCATCACTCACTCTTCTCCTTCTCGTGGAGGAGTTGAACTTAGTGATGTCCGATTACTACTCGATTAATCGAGACAATCGATTATCTGTTCAAATAATCGATTAATTTTTAATCGATTATTCAATGCCTCGATTATCTACTAATCGAATAATTGGCTTCGATTATTGAACGATTATTTGAATTTCATTGTAAGTATTTATTTTAGTGTATATCGAACTTACCACTATCGATTAAACTACATGATAACCCGCAACAACTCTAAATTGAGTCGAACATGCTCATTTCAGCGTTAAGTATGGCTACTCAAAAGTGAGTAGGCGCAATTTTACTCACTTTTGAGTAAACGACGTTCTCGCGCAGAGTGAGTCAAAACCACTCTGTGATATTTTTCAGGCGGGAAACTTGTTTTTTTTTTAATTTGATTTGATAAAAAAAAATGGAAATTTCTTGCTCCAGATTCATTTAACTGGAGCTGAAGACGACTGAAATCCGTCTCCGCATGCAATTCCTACTTACCGTAATACATTTTGGCCGGTGTTATACAATAATTACGCCGTTTCTTAGAGCGTTAGCTCCGACACGGTTGGTCCCGTATTTGGCTGACTGAGTGGCTTTTACTCAGTTTAACATTTCTCATTCACTCAGATTTTGACAACCTAATGCATCAGCCGAAATTGAGTACGATCGACTCACCCGGCGAGTAAGCTGAAGTAAGCGTGTAGACTTATCTGACATTTGTAAAATGCACAAGTATTAGTGCAGAACTTGGGGTAAGCTATTAGTATTAGTGCAAGAAAACCTTTGAATTTACCCAAAGTTCTGCACTAATACTTGTGCAATTCACAAACGTCAGAGAAGTCGAGGGGGACGACACATCTAAATCTCAATTCTAGGTGCTCAACAAATCTCACACTAGCTAATCAATCTTCGAAAAATATTCTTTCATTTCTCGCATCAACTTGCATCGTGCATCATCTTTTTGCAAGAAAGCTTCAGAATCGTCATAAATCTTCTTACTATCTACTCAGCGTGCGCGCAGCTAACCACAGCAAAAAAAAACAATTTTTCCTTCATCGTAGATAGGGTCGCCCCCATCGAGAGAAATCTATTCTCTAAAACATGGTG